CGATGCAGTTTGGTACAGAAACGGCTTCGACGTCATTCTTCTGAAACCACACGGAATAGAGATGGAAGCTGGCGAGATGCTGGCCCCGCAGAGGCGGCCCTCGGCCCGCTGACGTCCTCCAGCCGTGTTGCCGAACTGTGATTTAACTCGGTGTCAGGATAGTAGTTAGCAGCCTGGCGATGGAAGCGGGCTTGGCCCTGTCAGATTCCAGCCGTCTTATCTGTGCGCTAGCACGACTCGGCTATCAGGTGGCTGGAAACTGAGCTTCCTGGCCGAGGGCCTTTGCAAACGTTCTGTGGTTTCAATTAAGCCGAGAGCTGTGTGTTCCCGCTAACGAACGTGTTGATGGCCAAGTTGACATTTGCTTATGAAAGTTGAGAAACTGACCGCAGCGGCAGCACCTCCAACGTTTCCTTGACGTGTTGATTCCCCCCCCCCCCAGGACGGCGAAGCGCCCCTATGTTCAGAGAACATGTCACTTCGTGGAGCGGTTTAAACTAAAGATGCCCCTGAGTGAAAAAGATCATCATTTCTTGACATCGGAAGATTTACAGAAACTTCATATTAAGAGATTTCCCTCAAACCACCCGTCAATTAAGAACAGAAAACGGCAACAAGAGGTTTTTCCCTGGGCTCCCTAAAAAGGGAAAAGAGAATTGGGTGGAGTGAACCATAAAACTGCAGAGAGGATTTTAAGGATGATTTGAGGTTAGGTTGTCTGCTTTTGACATTAATTGGTCTCTCTTCGTGGACACTGACATCATTTCGAGTCACAGCCTAGGCATCCCTGTGCCGGGGATGGTGGTCCTCCCAGGGCCGGCTTTGATCTGTCCTGGCTGGTGGCCACGTGGAAGGAGCCGGGCCGGGCGGGCCGGACCTGACCCTCCGTCCAACGTGAAGCCTCCTGGTGGTGTAAGGGAAAACACTTGTAACGTTTAAAGCCTCGTTAGCCTATGACCCTGACATTGCTGAGATTAGTAGTCAAACAGGATTCTGACACACAGCCTGAGGGCCAGGTTCTTAGGCAGAAATGTGAGAAGGGGCGTTTTTCACGCACCTTTGCTGGAGACCGTCCACGTCAGCCCACACGTTCCTGTATTGGGTGATGTCACACCTATGCAATGACTTCCAAGCATTAAAGCTCACAGCCCTATAAGGCAGGGACTGTTGTTGTCCTCTGTTTACAGATAAGGAAAGTGAGTCACAGACTTATCTCCCCAGAGTGGAGCGGGGTTCTCACCCCACAGCCCAACTCCGGGGCCCTCACTCCTGCCAGTCACCATGCGTTACTGTCTCACCTGCCCGTGTCCCCCGGAATGTCACGGTGCTTTCGTATTCTAAGGGCTTTTCGGGTTGGCTACTGTAGTATTACTTTGAACTTGGTCCGTCTCATTAATCACATTTTAGTTCAGAAGCAATTGGGTAGAAGCTCAGGTTAAATTGATTTTCTTTATTATCTTTTTTAAAGCAATTGTAACATAATGCAGACTCCTTATCTTTAAACTGCAATTCAGAAGCGCCGTGAATGGCAGTATATTTCAACTCCAGCATGCCTGTGAATTTTACCTCTTAATTGTTTTCTGGTTCTGTTTTGATTAAGTTGATTTCTTTCTGCGTGTAGGAATGGTTGGAAAAGTTAGTGTAGGTTATGGAAAGTGATGAGACGCCCTCTGGAAATTTCTCTAAGGTAGAGACAGCCTGGCCAGTGTGACTCAGTGGATTGAGCGTCGCCCCACGGACTGAGGTCCTGGTTCAATTCCCGGGGGGGGCACTTGCCTAGGGTTGCAGGCTGGATCCCCAGTAGGAGGCGTGTAGGAGGCAGCTGATGGATGTGTCTCTCTCATTTATGTTTCTATCTGTCTTTCCCTTCTCTCTAAAAAAATCAATAAAAACATATTTTTTTAAATAATAGAGTCAGAAATTATGTCTGTCCACACACAGACACACACGCACGTGCACACAGATACACATGCACACACACACACACCCCATCTTTAAGTCACAGCACATGAGTGAGCAGTATTTACTGATATCTGTTATGTACCATGCACTGAAATTATTGATATTTGCAAAGAATTGTTGTGACTGCCAAACAAAATCATTTCTACATAAAGGGAGGAGGCGAGGCGGGGGCTCCTTGGGCAGGGGTCTTCTCCGTGTTTCTCGTCCCCACTGACTTCCCGAGCCTGGACTTGACCGCGTCAAAGGACTGTTTTGTTTATTACACTTTCTAGGTAGGTTGCAGTTCCTTCTCATTTTTAAATGGACTTGTATCTTGCCCAGCTGGTGTGGCTCAGTGATTGATAGTCGACCCATGTATCAGGAGGTTACTGGTTCATTTCCCAGTCAGGGCACATGCCCAGGTTGCAGGCCCAATCCCCAGTTGTAGGCATGCAGGACGTAGCCAGTCGATGTTCTCTCTCATCAATGTTTCTGTCTGTCTCTCTCCCTCTCCCTTCCTCTCTCTCTAAAATCAATAAAGGAAAAAATCAATGAAGGAAGGAAGGAAGGAAGGAAGGAAGGAAGGAAGGAAGGAAGGAAGGAAGGAAGGAAGGAAGGAAATGGATGTGTATCTTCAGGGGAGGGCTTGGTTTCTCCTTAAATGAATGCCCACCCTGCTGTGTTTATGTTCTTTTCCTCAGTAGCACAGTCTTTGTGCAAATGTAGGCCCCTATCTGCAGTCCCATTAGGCTTCATATATGCTGAATTCGTTGTAAAAACTTGCCGTACGTGACATAAGACATCTAAAACCCATAGGCATTAAGGAGAAAACCTTACAGCTGTTGTGTTACATCCATTCTAAGATAGACTTTTTTTTCACATTTTTTTTATTTTTTTATTGATTTTTAGAGAGACAGTGAGGGAGAGAGAAACATCAGTTAGCTGCCTCCTGCATGGCCCCTACCAGAGATTGAGCCCGCAACCCGGGCATGTGCCCTGACCAGGAATCGAACCTGCAGCATTTTGGTGCACGGGACGATGCTCCTGCAAACTGCGCTACCCGGCCCGAGCTTGTTTTCCACGAACACCCGAGAGGTCGGAATGCCCGCTGCCGTTGCTGACATCCTGGGCTGTGATTGGCCGTTGCTCTTGGCACATGCAACAGTGGTGCGTCTTGAAATTGACAGCCCAGTTTTGATGAAAAAACAGTATCTATTCAGTCCTTGGACATTTTGAGAAACACGTTTGACCAAAAAAGCCGTTCCCATTGAAGTTTCCCTCTGCTTGAATGCGATAGGTCAGAAGTCACTTCAGGTTCTTTCTATTTGGATCGGGAGGGCAATGAAAAGCCAGTAACAGTTTACTTCGTTGTAGTGTTTTGAAAATTACAGAAGTGGTGTTTGTGCTTTAGAAGTTTGTTTTGCGAGGTGAAGAGGGTCCCGGAGAAGGGGTGTGTGGTGGTCGCGGAGGAACGTGAAGTCACTGACCTGATGCTTAAAAACGGTTAAAATGGCAAACTCCAAGGTTTTGTTTGTTTTTTTTATCCTCACTCAAAGATATTTTTCCATTTTTTGTACAGATATAGTGGGAGGGAGAGAGAGGAAGAGAGAGAGAGAGGGAAACATCGATGTGAAAGGGACACATCGAGTAGCTGCCACCCGCACGACCAACCAGGGCCGGGGACAGACTGCAACCGAGGTACGTGCCCTTAGCGGGAACCGAACCCGGGTCTCTCCGGACTGCAGGCGGACGCTCCAACCGCTGAGCCAAACCGGCCAGGGCGCAAACTCCAAGCTTTGTATGTTTTATCACAATTAATTTTTTTCCCCCAAAAATAGTACTATAATGCTTATAACAATTTTACTCAGTATAGCGATACACAGAATAAAAAGTGAAAGTCGCCGTTCCCCCCCTCACGGCCCCTCCCCATCCCCCCACTTCCGCACCTCTCCACCAGAGCCGGATCTTTTCCAATAGTCATCCTCAGACTTCCCATCGTGGGGGGTGGGGAGGTACACGTGGTTTTGGCCCTTCCAGTCGCTGTCACTATCATAAGCCCATTGTAACAGTTAAGGAAGATAGAAATGTATTGGGAAGGACATTCCTGGGGAACCGTGCTTTTTAAAAATCGTATTAAGGCTAAATGTACTAATTGACACCTTGCAGGAGATGTTTCTCCTAGAAGTCGTCTGTATAAATGCATCGTAAGAGCCACACTGCTTCAGCTCTTACGTACGGTGTAAAGAGAATATAAGGGAAAATGTGACCTCACAGCCTTCAACCTGCTCTTCTGTGTCCTTCCCGCTGACCACTTTTTCCTCTGTTGGTGGGGTGAGCAGTTCCCCCAAGAAATTCTCATCTGGGCTCCTGGGTCTCCTGCCTCCAGCTCACCGCCGGGGGTTCAGATGCCCCATCCCTTCAGTGCTTCCCGGGACTGCAGAGCGGAGAGGCCCATGTCCAGGCTCTGCCAGGCCCTGCAGTTCGCCTCCACTCCCCCCCGTGACGCCCTCCCGCACTGCGGTCTCGGTGTCTGTCCCCTGCGTGTGCCTGGCTCATGCCATTCTCTCAGGGCCGTGTCTTAGCAGGTACCACGTCCGTCCGTGAGACCGTGTCAGTGAATGTCTGTCCTTCCTGCCGTCACCTGGCCCAGCACGCACTTGGCGCTCGATGAGCCTGCCAGGAGAAGTCGCGGAACAGTTGGGTGGTTTTGTGGAGCGGAGGTGTTTGTGGCCTGGGAGTTGATGGTGGCAGCAAATCACCCTGAGTGTTTGGACCTTGGTGGCCTGGAAGTTCGGTGTCAGCCTTAGCGACCACTCGGTGATGCTGGGACTCTGAGCACGCGCGTTCTCTTTTGTCGGGAATCTGGAGGATGAGTGTGGACGTGGACGTGGCCGTGGCCGGCAGCGTGGGCTTCCGCTGAGGGGAAGCGAGCCGGTCAGCAGCTTGTTATCAGATTCCTTCCGAACACACGGGGATGCGTCACGAGCAGATATGGGGGCTTCTGGAAATGAGCAGCTTGGCCTAACCTGCTCTCTCACTGATATTTGTTTTAATTCCAGAACGTGGTCCAAGACAATTCCTGGGAAAGTCGAATTCTTCTCAAGTGAGGGCTCAGATACGTCCATTCCGATCCCAATAGTGCCACTGCGGGGCGTGGACGACTCCTACCCCCCCCAGAAGAAGTCTTTCATGATGCTCAAGTACATGCATGACCACTATTTGGACAAGTATGAATGGTTCATGAGGGCGGACGACGATGTGTACATCAAAGGAGACCGTCTGGAGAATTTCCTGAGGAGTTTGAACAGCAGCGAACCCCTCTTCCTCGGGCAGACAGGACTGGGCACCACAGAAGAAATGGGCAAACTGGCCCTGGAACCGGGTGAGAACTTCTGCATGGGGGGGCCCGGCGTGATCATGAGCCGGGAGGTGCTCCGCAGGATGGTCCCGCACATCGGCAAGTGTCTCCGCGAGATGTACACCACCCACGAGGACGTGGAGGTGGGAAGATGCGTGCGGAGGTTCGCGGGGGTGCAGTGCGTCTGGTCCTACGAGGTAAGAACAGAAGCAAATCTGTGAATGTCGTAGTCCTGAACCCGTCGTAGGAAACGAGTGATCGTATCCTCTTCAGGGTGATTCTCCACATTTAGTGATGACACAGTTTTACCTTCGTTTTTTCCATTCGATTTCCCTCTCGTCACCTTTTCTCTTGGTTTTTAGAACGTACCTTCTATTCTTCTGTCCCGACTCCTTAGTTAATAAATAGGAGGCATTTGGGGCCCGAAGGAAGGATGGGTCGCTGCAGCCTTTACAGCAGTTTTTTTGTTTGTTTGTTTGTTTTGGTGGTACGTGCCCCTAGCAGGACCTGAACCCGGGACTCTCTGGTCCGCAGGCCGATGCTCAACCGCTGAGCCAAACTGGCCAGGGCCGTACTGCTGTTTTCACGATAATCCCGAGAATTCGTCCAGATGCTTCTGACCTGCAGATGTGATGCAGCCGCCGCGGTGTCCCTGCCCCTGTCCTTCCGCAGGCCCCCTCTCTGGTCACGGTGACCCACACAGTTCAGAAATGTCCGTGTTTTGAGTTCATAAAATGGGGACTGAGGCACAGGCAGCAGCTCTGGGCTCCATATTTCTTTTCAGCCTCGACGGTTTGGAAAGCGATTGCGGTGTGCGCGTGTGCAGTCAGTCTCTGGGCGGCCGCGGCCCGGAGGTGCGGGTGTTTGACGGAAGTCTCCGTGGAGATGTTTTCTGTTTAAACGTGCCAGAGAAGACGAGTTCGCTTCGACGGCTCTGTTCGCACTGGCAGATGGACCCTCGCCCGGGTCACAGGGTCCGCTGTCAGCCGGAGGGGACAGCATGAGTTAGGCTGGAGCGCGTGGCGATCGACGAGTCGCTGATAGCTGTGAGGAGCGGGGCAAATCGCGACGTTTGTCCACGACAAAGAAACACACTTTCTGATGCGAATCGTTAGCGTTTCTTCTGAGTTAATTTTCCAAAGTGCTTGAGTGAAGAAATCCTGTTCGTGCCCGTGCTTGCCTCGCCCCCGGCCTTGCTTTTCAGTGTCTCCTCCTCGCTCGCTCTTTCCTCTGAACTTTTAGGGACGTGGGCGTTTCCCAGTTCCCGGGAAACAGTCGCTGTGGCGTTTCTCATTATGAAAGATATATTTTCCATCCCAAATGGAATTTCAGCGAGCCCTCTAATCTGCACGGGGCTCACTGGATCTAGGGGCATCTCTGTTGTCATGGAGATCTGTAGCAAGGAAAGTGTTGGGGGATTTCGTACAGTTTTAAGCAGAACCCAACTGGCAGTATTTCTGCATTCCCCCATCCTTAATGAAGTAGTTACGACCTTAGCATGTTTCATTACTGTTGAAATGTGTAACGCCTCGTGGATTTTGGAACGATTTCTGCTGCCCCCGACCTCCGAGCTGGCCTTCCGGCCGCAGCTGTAGAAGCCAGGCCTACCTTGGGGGAGACGCGAAGAGAGACGTGTCTCAGCGTTGCCACGCTGCTGTGTCTCACGTGGGGTGAGCCGGACACCGCAGGGCCAGCGTCCCGAGTTGGTCAAGAACTGTGACCCAGCTTGAAGTGTCAGCACGGAGTTAGACAGCATTGGCCTGGGGTCTCGGGTTAGGGGACTGTTCTCAGCTGTCTTCCTCTTACTGTGGCGTAATCACCGAGATGGTCAGCATCCTGACTGGACGCGTGGGGCCGCCCCTGAGCCTTGCGTCTGGGAAATGACCTACAGGGCCGGGCGGGGGGGGGGCTCCCGCCCTGGGTAGTGCCCGGTCCCCGTGTAGGACGTCCCCAGAGTGTGGGCAGTCAGCTTCCATGAGGCCCCTCAGACGCCTGGTGACAGCCCTCCGCCGAGTGCCAGGCTTGCTGTCCACGGGGCCTGCCGGTGACCCTCCCCTCTCCCTTGGGAGAGTCTTCTCCTGGGCCGCGGCTGTCTTTCCCTTCAGATGTGCTGTTTTTATGATACGCAGATTGCGAACGTAAATGTAAATTTACCATTCTTTTCCTCTATAGCTTGTGCTTTTTTCTGTCTTGTTTAAGAAATTCTTCCCTTCCTGGGTCACAGGAATTTTTTCCTATTTTTCTGTCAATTTCAAGTTTTGAATATCATATGTAGTTCTTCATCATTTTATTTTATTTTTTTAATCCTCACCCGAGGATATGTTTTTTATTGATTTTAGAGAGAGGAAGGGAGAAAGAGAAACATTGATCAGTTGTATCCCATATGTGCCCCAACCGGGATTGAACCCGCAACCTGGTTATGTGCCCTGATCAGGAATCGAACCTGCAACCTTTTGGTGTATGGGGTGACGCTCCGACCAACTGAGCCACCTGGCCAGGGCATCCCTTACCGTTTTAAAGAATTCTGTCTATTGGGACATTTACCATTTTATTATTCTTGTCTTTTTTTCTTTGTTTGTAGGGCTTTAAGTGCTTCTAACCTAAGTCATTACTAGGATTGATCCTTGGTTCCCCAGTCAGGCAGCATTAATCTCTCACGTGGACGATGAACTTTCATTTAAACTTCCTCAAATCTGGTTCTTTTATTAAGACTCGAATTACGAGAAACTGTTGAGGTGGCGTCTTAGGTGGAAGGCAATTATGTAAAGCTTTGGGTCTTGGAAGGTGCTTATTTAGCTCTATTATAAATCTGGCCAGGAGGCATCGTTTTTATTTTATTTTATTTTTTTGCAGTTGCAAGAATGCTTTGGGATCGTTCTGACATAATTAAAAGGGCTCCAGGAGCCGATGTCCTTATGGAGATCCAGCTTCCGTTCTAAGCCTGTTTGGGTTATTCTTGTGAGTGTGGTCATTTATTAATACATAGTTTTCAAAAACTTCATTTGGAAATCATTGTAATTTTACAGAAATGCCCCAGAAAACACATCCAAGCGCATCCATGCACCCCGTACCCTGATCACCCTGGTCACCTCTTGCGTCTGCGGTGTCGTTGGCTGTGGTCCTGCGGGTCTCCCTCCCCGAGTGGGGGACAGCCACCCTCCCACACTGCAGCGGGACCTCCACTGCGGCCCCTTCCCTCGGGTAACGTCAGTGCGTTTTGATTACGAACAAGGAGATCCTTTGATATGACCACGGCTTCAGCACAGTTCGCACGGACGCCTTAACCCCCGTCGACATGCGGTTTGTCTGCTGACCCGGCCGAGCCCCGTGGAGCGGCTCTTCCTGCTCGGGGACAACCCGGCCTGGGCCCTGGGCGGCACCTGGCTGCCCGGTCTCTTCGGCCTCCTCTCGGTCGCACAGCCTCTCTCCTTGTCCTTGACGATCTCGACGTTTTCTCTAAGTGGCTTTAAGTACCTCGTTCTCACGAAGAGAAGACTGAACGCGAGAGAGCAAACCGCAGGCAGCTTGTGTGCCGCGTCTGGAGGCCCGGTGAGCGGGGCCTGAGGGGGCCTGAGGCTGCTGAGGCTGCTGGGAAGGCCGGGTGCCCCCACCTTGTCCCCTCGCCACCAGGGTCGCCGCGGTCAACTCCAACTAGACGAGATTCTTTTTTCAAACATTATTGAAAAACTTGAAACAGTTATTTAGGCATATATCTAAAATATTATACTACTATTTTAGTACAAGGGGACAAAAGGAACACTTCTAAGTAACCTATTGATTTTGCTTTTAGCTTTTGTTGTTGTTGATCTTCACCTGAGGATATTTTTTCCATTGATTTTTTTTTTTTTTTTTTAGAGAGAGTGGAAAGGGGGGGAGGGGGAGAGAGAAACATCGATGTGAGAGAGACACATCCATCGATTGCCTCCTGCGTGTGCCCTGACTGGGCCCTGGGATGGAACCTGGAACCCAGGTATGTGCTCTCGACCGGCAGTCGAACCCGCAACCCTCTGGTGCACAGGCTGATACTCTAACCACTGAGCCCGCCGGCCAGGGCTGTTTTACCTGTCTCCTGCTGTCTGTCAGACCTGTGGTGAATGCATAGGTCGCAAGTACGTGCGGAGCTTGGCAGGTTCTCACGAACCAAACTCAGCTGGGCGCTCAGCATCCAGACCTTCCTTATTTCAACTCAGCCTGTGACCAGTAATGAAGGTGCTTTGGGTAGAAAATAATCACTGCTACTGGAAGTTGGAGATAGTTACACATGTGAAAAATGTATCGTCTTTTTAGTAGCTAAAGCTGTCACCTGGTTCAGAATTCCAAAGTGCAAAGGGTGAGAGGGACACATCTCCCCACCTCTGTGTCCGGCCTCTGGGTTTCTGCCGCGGGCCAGCCCCCCGGTGCACCCTGACAAACATGCCAAGTGCGTATGTAAGTGTGTGTGGATGTATGTACACACGCATAGGCAGAGAAGTCTGTATCTCTGACCCCTTCTACGCGGCTGGTACCATGTCTCACACACTGTCTGCATCTGGTTTTCACGGACATGTGCTGGAAGCTTTGCCATTCGGTGCATCAAGAGCTTCATGTTGTTCGTGGACACTCTGGTGTTTCCAGTTCTTCTCAGCGGTGTGTCTGACCATCCTTTAGCCTCTTCCGTGTCGTGGCCACACTGGGCGAGTGACCCCCCGAGGGCTCCTGCTGCCACGGCAGCCCCAGCCGGACTCGGGGTCGTTCTCCTGGCACCCAGAACTTGTCCGGGCTGCAGTGGCTGTGTTGCTCTGAGTTGACCAGGAAGTATTCACTGATGGGCCCAGCACTGCCCTGTGAACGGGCAGGAAGCTGCAGAAGAAGAACCGAAAGGTAAATGGCCTTCTTCTCCCTCGAGAAGCTCAGCTGACTGGAGGACAGCAAAGCCTGTTCATGAGACGGTTGAAAAAATGCAGAAGTGTAAGACCTGTGGTTCCGATTTCAGATACAAGGTGGAGCAGGGAGGCGAGGTCTGAGCTGGAGGTGAGAGCCGTGTGCAGAGGGGTCCTCCTCGCTGGCCGCCTGGCCCCCAGGGAGGTTCACCGCTGACCATCCTCACAGCACTACCTGGGGTGTTTTTTCTTTGACAAACGATGTTTCTGCTGGTTGTCGTGGAGCTGGTTTGCAGCACAGCGGGCTTCCTCCTGGAGGCTGCACAGGAATCTTACCT